ACACACACCACATTAGGTTACTTAGTCTATTAAATGTTATTAGGCCCTTGCTGGATTTCTTTTAGTTTCAGTCAGCAGCTTCTGCCTCCAGTACCAACAGATGGAAGTGTGTGCAATGCTGCCATATCTTCATAGAAAAGGATTTCTAGTTTGAAAAGAGAAGTAATGAGCATGTGAATTATTTTACCAGTGAGTATATAAATGCAAACTCTGAGCTGACTGGGACAGCCAGAGCAGAAATTCCCCTTTCCCTTTCTTTTATTGCAGGACATGGATAAGGAATAGCTAGCCTGGATGAGGAATAACTAGCTTGAATGAAAGAGGATTGTCCTCTTTCTTTAGCATGACCATACTGTAAATCTGCTTTTCACCTGATGCTTTACAATGCGGGCTTCGAAAAAGTGTCTGGTCTGCTAGAGCGCTTTTTGGAACTAATCCTCTACTTCACAAATGCTTTCTCAGGGCAAAAGTCTATTATCCTCATTTCCGTGGGCAGCTACCTGCACTTTATCTCTGGAAAACTTTTATTTCTCTTCATATGCTATTACTCTTACTCTCTGCTCTTTCACTCCATTACTGCATCTGCTTTTTTCCCTTTTACTACTTGCCTGCGCTCTTCTGTGCCTCTTAGAGACAGGGAGCTGTATTTTGTGGGAGAGGAAAAGAATAGGGGTACGTTGCTTTCTCAGTTGCGTTACGTGGTGGTTGTTGCCAAATAAAGGAATATGGCACAGGAGTGAGGACACTAAAACTGGGCCATGGAGCCAAGGAACTACTCGGAGCTTTATTATGCCCCTTATTGTGTCTTGCTGACCCTTTGCCGCATCAGCGGGCTTGACCCTAATCCATGGACATGAAGTTGGTTAGGACTCAGGTTCGCACCAGCTGTTGGAAGTGCGTACCTTGACTTCTCTGGCTTTGCTCCCATACTGCTTCTTACAATAGAATAGTGCCCCTCAAAGTTCTTTTAGTGTTTTTTTGAGGTCACAGATTTAAATACAAAAAGGATAAAGGTTAAGTTGTTCAGAATGACATTCACAGCACATATTGTAATGCTATGCATTTGCTAGATCTGTAGTCAGTTTTTTTAATACGATTGGAGTCATGAGTTTTTTGGTTCCTGGTTCATATATCTTACAAAAATCCAAACGTTGCATTCCAGAGGGTGTGTACTTTTTGTTAATATTTGACATCTGCAGGGAAACAAACTTACCAAGAAATTATTACCAGAGAGAAAGAATTATTTTTCTTGAATACTTATGCAAATATGGATTTATTTTTCTCTTTTCAGACCGCGGTTTGACAATGAAGTGGGTAGTAGTAAGAGTTGCATATCCTGATGTGCAACTACCTGAAAAAGAGAGCTCAGTTAGGCACAGCAGCTCTGGTCACCACAGTGTTACCCAACTAGTGCAGTGCCCATGCTTTCGGATAGTGATAGCATTGAGTCCAGAGACCCCTGTGAAAGTGAAGGCAGAAAGTGAAAAGCAGGAAAAATCTGTTCTCCCCTTGCTTAACTCCCCCTTAAGTTTCTGTTTACCTCTGTTTCTGCATTTGCTCTTTCTTTTAGAAACAGATCCAAAGCCATAGTAGAGGCTGTGTAAAGGGGAAACAGTCTGCAAAGGCTCTGCAGAGTTTTTGCAGAGCCACCTCGAGTCTGCAAGAAAAAACTCTGCATCATGCCTGCTCCAGATAAGGGCAAGGAGCAACAGGGTCTCCTGAGAGGTATCTGCAGGTTCTCCTGCCTGCCTCCACACAACTGACTTGAGCTCATTGAAAGTGAGGCTCAGGAAAAATGCAATCTGAAGTGAGTACCTGCAAAAGAAAGCAAAAAATAAACTTAATCTCTTGGTGGGAAACCAGAGATTTGTGCTTCCTTGCCTTATTTCGCAATGGGACAGCATCAGGTTTGAGCATAAAGCAGGAGAAGCTCGATTTTATTTTCACACATATATCCATTCAGTGTACACACTTTTGTGTATACATATATATACATATATATGCATATATACATATTTAAATGTATATATACCCATATATAAAAGTATATACCCATATATATTTTTTGTCTAGTGTGATGGGGCAGAAGTGATATGAAACACCCTATTTCAGGAGGACCAGGAACTTGAGGAGGATGTCATGCTGGTTGACTGGGAAGAGAGGGGAGGAACAGGAAGGATCTCCTTTTCCCTTGCCCAGGATTTTATTTTTATCCGCGTGTATGATTTGTACTAGAAGCTTGTTTGGTAAAGCAGTATTGCAGAAACCATTTATAGGGAGGGGTTGTATTGTATTTGTATTATGCTCACAGTTGGGGTTTATCTGTGTGCAAAGAATACATACAAGCATGTGGTAGCTGTGATTTCTCCCTGGAAGTAAGAGCTGCAGTGTCCAAAGAGAGTAAAGCTTCTCTCATGTTTACTAGTGTTTCTAGGACTTTGTAGTTTTGAATGTGTCCTGGATAAGAAGCACTGAGCAAAGGGAGGGTTGGGAAGGTAATTACAGCCAGAAGTTTTTTTCTGGGCACAGGTTGCTCCCGTCTGTCACTTTTGAACTGGCTGATCTTTTCTCAGGAGGAAGAGACCCAACAGGGTCATGGGGTTTGTGAGGGGGAGAGAGGAAATGAGGAACACTTTCCCTCTTTTGGAGAAAGGTAAAAGCAGGATATACCAGGATCCTGTCAAATCCTATTCAGTGGCACTGAGCCTTTTCTGTTATCAAAGCTGATAACAAATCTACACCAAAAAAATCTGAAAGCTAGTTCATATGGGGGCAAAACTCCTGAGGAGAAGAGGGGAAAAAATTAAGACAGATTTAGCTCCTTGGGCCAACTGACAACAGCCAGATTCGGGACCTCGTTCCCTAACTGAGGTATTTAAATAGGAAATAAATCTGGCTGCATAAATCTTGTGCATCATAAATTATGGCTTCTGACACTGAAGCACTGTGAAAATCCAGACCCAGCTAGCAATTTCTAGCAGAGCCTGTTCAGTTTTGAGCCCTCATACGGCTGTAGCAGAGAGCAAGTGTGATCACTTTTCACCAAAGCTTTCCATCTTGTATCCCATGCCTGACAGCCTCAAAAAATAAGTTAACCTGAATTGTGCATCTAAGCCTACCTGCATCTGAGTAAGTTTTTGCCCTTCCAAACAGGAGAATGTAAATAGGAAAAAAGTAGTCTGTCCTGAAAAATACAGTTCAGTAACACTAAAAAACAAATAGTTGGTCCTGGCAGATCCTGTCAATTTTTATGTTTAGTCCCTCTTCATTCTGTCTTTATAAGGAAGAAAATGAAACAGCTTCCAGATTTGAGATCAAGCAGTACCACAAAACCGGTTATCTGGTACTTGAGTTCAGTAGGGTCTCCTGAAAACTTCTTTTTTTTTCAGCTCCTTTGTGTGAAGAAGCTGAATAGATACTTATTGTAAAAATCCACGTGCCATTCCTGCCATGCTGCACTGAAAGGTAGAGCACTGCCTGTTTCTCTTCTGGATCCTACCATTTTCTCCTTCCTACCGTGTGCAGGAGACAGTGCAAGTTCCTCTTCCTTGAGCTTAGATCCAGTACTTCCTGCCTAAGTGAGAGAGCAATTTTTAGAAAACCCTAAATCCCTGTAACTTCTGCTTTTCTTCTGCCACACACAGCTTAATCTTTTTAGATAAAAACAATATTTTGTGTTATTGAAATCAGTGGTACATCTCTCATAGATTTTGGTCAGAACCAGGATTTAAGACACAGCTATCAAAATATGATTACTAATCCCTCTTCAAAAATCTACATAGAATGCTGGATACTGGGTGAATAACTATATTTGGACATAAAGTCTCAAAATATTTTCACCTTTAGAGGTTCTGTGTTCATCCTTTTTTTTTTTTAAGGCCCCTTGTGCCTCAGTGAATCTCGAACCATATTTGAACAGCGGATGTAGTTTCTATTTATGCAATAGTGTTTAAGAGCAAGAATTTTAGAAAAAGCCAGTTGCCATATTATTGCTCTTACACAGAGATACCAATTTGCAAGGTGAGGAGAGATTTGCATCAAAGAGAAATACCTATAAATTTGTGTGGTTTGCTGTTTCATTTCGAGACCTAAAAATGTAGGTAAATGAAACAAGAAGCGCATGGCTTCTTGTCTTTAGCGATTTGGTTTGGTGGTGCTTATCAGCATATACATTTATCATGTTTGGATTAAATAATCCTGTAGGCCCCTGGGCTTCATTTTCCTGTTCAGCTGATACAGTTTAGAATAGTCAGAGGAAAAATGCAAGGAAAAGCCACCTACCTATGCGCTGCTGTGACAGTCTGTGGAAACAGAGCGTGTGTGTGTGTGTTAGCACAATGTGTGTATGTTTACATGTGTGTATTGTACATATATGTGTGTGTGGAAGGATGTATATGTATTTATATAGATATATTTCTGATTGTGGGCAGTGGGATTGGCAGAATCTAGCCAGACTTAGGTCCACTTTTCCACCCTGGTATGTTCCATGCTCTTCAGCCCGGGCCAGGAGTGGGCTAGGTGGTTTGTGCAGTTTGGGGTTTCTGACCCAAAAGTGCCAAGTTCGACGTGCCACATCTTGTTATGGTAGAAGCCAGGCTTTTCTGCCAACGCTAAGCAGTTCGGGAGAGGAGCACCAGACGTGGACCGGTGTCCCAGTATCCGCGTGGCAGCACTCCCTGCTGTGGGGCGAGGCCGGCGCTGGGGACCACTGGGCCCGAGCGGGGCGACCAGAACCGCTCGCCACGAGCACGGCC